ACAGTGGGCTCAAGCACAACAAAGATTGTGGATATGATACAGGGTCAGCCAACATTTCATTCTTTTATACATAAAACCACTATGAATCAGAGTCAACTCAATAGCACCTATCAACAAGTTTTAAAAAGGACAAAATAAAGTCAGGGTGAAAAATATCATAACTGTAATCTCTTTATTTAAAAAATGCTATGCTATTCTTGCTATGTACCATCATGTTGGAACCAACTCATATCTAACCCTTCAGTGGGTTTTCAGAGGCAGTAAATTGCACAGGAAAAGACTGTTCATCTTTCTCTAGTGGAGCAGCTGGTAGATTCAGACCATGCACCTTTGGGTTGATAGTGCAACTCCTTACCACTAAGCCATCAAAGCTTTATTATTTCAAAGATGTTACTGTTGTTGTTGTTGTTGTTGTTGTTGTTGCGGTATGCCATTGAGTTGGAAATGACTCATGGCTGACCCTCCAGCAGGTTTTCACAAGCATAACTCAGGAGGGAGAAGATTATCCATCCTTCTCCCATGGAGCAGGTGGATGATGTGAATCACATGATTTTTGTTCTACTTTGTTTCACTCTGTTGTAAAGTTCACCTAAAAATGTTTCCTACAGGCAATAGATCTGATAATTTCCTATAATTTCTCTAGTTCAGTGGCTTTTAATATCACATAAATTCTCCTCATTATTTCTACTATTTTACAAAAATAGCATCATTAGTATACTAAGAACTTATATAAATTCTTGTTCCTTTTTTTATATGCTTCAAACAACAACTCACAAGCTCCTGCATGAATTACAAAGTAGCTATCTTTTGATTTACAGAAGAAAAGATAAAGAAAAAATTATTCTTAGAATACCCTGTTTCTCCAAATAGATTTTTACTTTGTTAATAGTTATTAAATTGAGATTCTCCATTTATTCTAAGAGTAAGTTCTGCTGTATAGCTCTAGTGACATAGGGGTTTCTAATCTTGTGCTACCAGTTTGAAGGCATGTAGCCAGTAGGTCACCTGCACTCCACAGGTAAAAGCTAATCTCCTCCCCTGCAATTTACAGCCTTCCAAAATCTGCTGGCGGGTCAGCTATAAATCAGTTCCAAATTGATGCACATAAAAATATGTTGTTGTTGTTGTTATGTGCTGTCGAGTCGCTTGAGACTCCCAGCAAACCTATGTACAACAGCCATAAACTCTGCCCTGTCCTGAGCCAATCACACTGTCTCCGATACACCCATCCCAATTACCCCAGTCACTGAATCAATCCACATCATAGAGGGCCTTCCTCTCCTGAGCTGTCCCTCCACCCTCTACAAGGACCAGTCCCTTCTTACAACACATCCAAAGTACGTCAGACGAAGCCTCAGAATTCTTTTCTCCAAGGAGCCCACAGATTTAATCCTCTCCAGGATGAATCTGTTTGTTTTCTTGGCAGTCCATGGTACCCTCAATACTCTTCTCCAGCACCACAGCTCAAAGGCATCAATTCTCCTTCTATCCTCCCTAGTCATTGTCCAACTCTCTGATGCAAAGACCATGACCTGCATCAGACACACCTTAGTCTCCAGAGTAACACTATTGCCCTTCAGTACTTTGGAGAGGTCCCTAACAGCAGACTTTCCCATGGCAATACGTTTTTTTTCTTTCCTGGCTGCTGTTCCAAGCAAACGAAAGCTGTGAACAATCTCAATCTCTTCACCATCCATCCTGATGCTGCCAATTGGTCCAGTGGTGAGAATCTTTGTCTTCTTGACATTCAGCCTCAATCCATATTGAAAGCTGCACTCCTTGACCCTCTGCAGAAGTGCTTCAGGTCCTCCTCAGTTTTAGCAAGCAGGGTTGTGTCATCTGTATAACGCAGATTGTTGACAGATCTTCCACCAATTGTGACACAACATTTCTCCTCATAGAGCCCTGCCTCTCAGATAATCTGTTCTACATACAGGTTGAAAAGTTATGGAGACAGGACACATCCCTGGCGTACACCCTTCCCAATTTGGAAACATGCAGTGTTTCCTTGCTGTGTTCTGACAACTGCCTCTTGGTCCAAGTATAGGTTTCTCATTAGCACGATCAAGTGTTCTGGGATTCCCATTCTTCTCAGAGTCAGCCACAGTTTGTTATGATCCACACAGTCAAATGCCTTTGCATTGCCAATGAAACACAGATAGACATTCCTCTGGTATTCTCTGCTTTCAGCCAGGATCCATCTAACATTAGCTACAATATCCCTAGTACCACGACCCCTTCTAAACTCAGCGTGGACTTCTGGCAGTTCTCTGCTGATGTGATATTCCAGTCGTTTTTGGATAATCTTCAGTAGAATCTTGCTTGCATGTGAAATCAGTGAGATTGTCATATAGTTTCCACACTCTGATGGGTCACCCTTCTTTGGAATGGGTACAAATATAGATCTCTTCCAGCCAGTTGGCCAAGTGGTGGTTCTCCAGACTTCTTGGCACAACCTGATGAGCACGTCCAGAGCAGCATCTGTTAGCTGAAATATGTCAATCGGTATACCATCTATTCCTGAGGCCTTATTTTTTTGCTATTTCCTTCAAAGCAGCCTGAACTTCTTCCTTCATCGCCATAGGCTCTTGCTCATGTGTTGTTTCATGAAATTTTTCTGTGTCTGCCAATTCCTTT